GCATCTACGCGATGGGCGGTTTCGACGGATTTCATCGGCACCGCAGTATCGAGCGTTACGACCCGAGGACCAAGATGTGGCAGGAACTGGCCCCAATGCGCCAGAGACGAAGCAATTTTGGCATTGCCGTAGTCGAAAATCAGATGCTCGTTGCAGGAGGACTCAACATGTTGCATGCAATGAAAACTTGTGAGATCTACGAACCTCGAATGGATCGCTGGAGGCATCTTCCGCCATTACTCAAGGCAAGTTGTGCCCTATCCTGTGTCGTTTTCAAGGAACTGCCAAACGTAGAGAATTTCCTCAAAACGCCACGTCAGCCAAAGCGTTCGCTTATTTATCCCTGGGACTTTCCTTGGCATTTGCACCGAGAAGCTAACAATGGAACGTAGCCGGGACATTTCCCTAATATTACTAACTACTCGCTCAACTTTTTCCTGCTTGTACATTTCTCGACTTCATTCGGTCAACGATTCAGACACTTTCTACTAGAAACTACAGGTGAGAGCTAGTTATTATTGACCATTTAACATATCTGCTCCATCCCGCCACTTCGCTTAATCGCTTATATATTAATAGAGCGCTAACAATTTACTTTACATCCTAAGCTTCCCGCAATTGATTAATATAAGGTCACTATACTGTACCAAACTGCTGTTTTCGCCGTATTCATTGCATTTTCTAACTGTTCGTAAATATTTGCATTTCTCACCTTCTGAAGTCGCCATTGGAACATAAGAAGTGCATAAACCTTTAAGTGCGAACATTTTCTATGTAGCAAAAGGATGCCAGTGCGATTCGAGAAGAATTCACAACTTCCAACGGGCGATGCACTTCATCTGAAGATAGCAACAACTATACTTTTTCATTCTTTGGCTAGCATTACTGTGTATATTACCTTTAAAGCGTTTGATGTACACTGAACATCTTCATGTCTCGATGGACTTAAGGAATCACAGATTATACCAGTTGTCTGGAAGGTTAACTGAAAATCATATCTTCGTTTAAGTCGATAACCGGATGCGCCAATATGAATAACTCCTGTTTCTAGACAGCAGGATTTTCTCAAAGTGAGGTGGTATAACCGGGTCATGAACGAATAGAAGCTGACGACCAAATGCATGAGAAAACTAAAACACAATCAGTGCATGACTTGGTTTGATAAAACGGCCTAAAAAGGGAAGAAATTTCTCTATTTCAAATTCATATTCCAAATGTTTTTCACTTGGGAACCATGCAGTGACTGTAGGCCCAATAGAGGAGAATACAAAGCGCAGAACTACATTGTTGAGACAGACCTGCTTGAGAAGATATGAATTTTGCTGCAGAAGTAAAAGTTGCTTTAAGGTCAATCTAAAATAGCACTTCTAACGGGCAAACATTATGAATCTGCACAATATTTCATACAGGTCCATCGCAAAACAATTAGGGAAATCACAAAAACAAATTCTAAGTTTTCTATACAAAAATGTATAACCTTTATATCATTTTCCACCATATGATAACAACAAGAAAACAGTACAAATACATCAAGATAGGTGATGCTGTTCGCTGTCAACGATCACAGGTTTATAATCGTCGTCTACTTTAAAATCCCATCGATAATTTTTAATCAGAAAGCAGTGAAACTTTCTGGCTTTTTCCTTCAATACAGGACATCGCTCGCATTCGTTGACAATGTCAAAGAAATTCGCCAGCTCTACACTGAGGAAATTGTTCTTCGACACAATGTCCACGAAGAGTTCCTTTGGAACGAATTTCAGTTGGTAATGCAAAACCATGATGAAATCGAGGAACAAACGCTCGTTCTTCTCAAGGTCTTTCAGGCAGTTACACAACAGATGAATTAGCAGCTTCCACTGCTCAAAGCCTTCGTACATGTGCACCAACAGAAAACAGATGAAAGCGAACTGAAGTTCGCCCAAAATCTCGTTCGGATTCTGAAAACTCGCCAGCACGCTCTGCAAAGCATAGCTCGAGTCTGCCCCGCGTTCGGTTCGCTCAGCGATCGAACAGACGTCGTCCCGCGGTGTAGGTATGCTCGTGAAACGGACCTCTGTTCCTTCTTTGTACAACAATATCGGCAAACCCTATAGCGCAAATAGGCATTTGTGTCAAATTAATAAATATGAAAAAATCAGTGACATGGTTATACCGTACAATCAAAGTTGCCATTAGCCATGTTAATGAGCATAGAAAATACATCTCAAGAAAAATTTCCGTTTCAGCGCCATTCTCATTTAGTAGATTTCAGCAAACTGATCTACTCATGCTCAAAACGTTTAGACAGGATCCTGTGTCTGCCTGTCATACGCTACAGCAGATGAAAGAAATGGGCTACAGGGAAGCATTTTGGGGTCTTGCAAAATAAATGGCTTGTCACTGTTTCCGAAACATGAATGATCGGTCAGTTCAGTTCAACACAGCAAAACAGTTCTGTAGCAAAATAAATCGCGGAGAAGGCCCAACGTCTACAACTATTTGGTAACCTCTATCGCGTCATCGGCCGAGTTGTTCAAGGAGTACAACTTTGGAACATAGAATCAAGAGGTACCGGGCATAAACCTCGGTCCGGTCGCTTGTATTTCTTACTTAAGCAGCTAATAAAGTACCACTCTGTGTGAAGGAAACAAGACTAGAGAATAAGCTCGCCAAAGACCTGTTCTTGATTTTAACTTTAAAATAAGACACTCTTGGCTGATGACATGAATATGAAGATCGGCGCCCCTCCATTTACTTCACTTCATGAAAAAAGGCTCCTGAAATGACCAGCCCATCATGAAAGTGTAAAGACGACCGACATACCAGCGGTTACAAACCTTTCTTTAATTTCCTATCCGAACTGTTTGGCGAAGGCAATCATTTAGGGTTGCTGACTTTCCACGCCTTGGAGAAGAGGTTGGATTTTCAAGGAGTAAACAGGATCAATATAAAGAGAAAACTGTACAAAATATAAGCAAGTGGAGTCCGAGTTAAGGGTGATGAGAGTGTCCGCGTAAGACACTTGCTGACGGGAAGACTGTTGTTTGCAGGCCATCTTATTTCTGATCTGCAGCACTTTCTAGAACGTTTTGCAGTCAAGTGCGATGTGACCGATATATGTGAACATATCTAAAACAAAAGCCCAGTACTACCCCGCTCTCTTACCCACTGCTCTCTTCAAATAAATGGAAACAGCAGAACAGGTAAAGTTCAAGTACCTCGGGGTCGGGTTTACTGCTGATGGAAAAACTGAAGAGATCGACCGGCGAACTGGAATAGCCAGTGGCGTTCTGCGTCAACTAACCTGAATCACAGTGTCTAAAGCAGAGCTCAATCTGAAAACTCAAGTCGATTTTTATCCCCATGCTACATACGGCCTTTACTTACCATGACTGAAAAACTTCGATTCCGGATACAAGCAGCTGAAATGAGTCTTCTGAGAGGAGTCCCTGGGTTACGCGTCTCGACATGGTCCGGAATAGAGAAATCCGCGGGAGAGTTTGTGCACAGTCGCTGCTTCTTCATACTGAGAAGTCACAGCCGCGATGGTTTGGGCATGTGTTGCGAATGCCTCCAGAAAGGTAGGCGAAATAGCTACTGTTTGCCAAAATGAGCGACTGAACACCCCCGGGGACGGCCAAAAATAACTGGAGGACACACTCTGTTTATTTACTTTATTTCAAAAGTAGGTTCTCTTCGGCGGAAGCTGAAATGCTGGCAGAGGATCGGAAACATTGGAGACCGTGTCGGATGCGTGCGTTCTGTGACCAGGAAGGATAAACGGTTATCGAAACTGGCAAACTGACTAAATCGATGTCAGAATCTTGGTGACAAATTTACGGGCAGATTTTCAAAGTGATAAGATACTCGTGAAAACAATATCAGTTCGGTTATAAAGGCAAAAATTCATACGATAACTACTACAACAAGTCATTGCGAAATCGATATTTGTAATGCACGGAAAAGAAGCCTGGACATATGCCATTATATGTTTTGACCGAAACCTTATTAACTGACGGTTTAGCGGTTAAATACAAGCTTCATAGCCTAGGTGTCGCGGTGCATGAAAGGGAAAAAGCCACAGCGTACTAGGTTCTGCCAAGCATTTCACAATTATGACTATTGCACCCCATGACGGGAACATGGCGATGGATTTCTAGCACGATTTCATAAGATGAACCGGCTGTAGGGATGAAACGCCAACAAAACTTATGCAAAGAAAGTTTCTTCCATTTCTCACGGTCTGTTGCAATAACAATTAAGTAGCTTGTCCTTTTACCGGTTCAGCTTGGTAAGATGCCAATAAATGAGTTGTGTAGATCAATTTAAAAGCAAAATGTTTGCGCGTTATCCGTCTTATAATAATTTATAAATTATTTTTATCTCTTTCGCTATAACTCGGTGTAATTGTTTTTTAAAAAATTATTCAGGACTTGCTACCTGTTTGTCACTGTAACGAATCCTAGTCGGATGTTGTCGATCGACTTTCATAGACGATTCGCCGAGTTCGTCGAACTCCTTGCTGATGAACTCGGCCTGGGACGACAAGAGCTTGTTTGCCGGTTGCAGACGACCGACTAGTTGTTCATTCAGATCGTATGACAAAGAATACCAGCGACGATGATTCTGAAATGGGTAGGGCGCGAGAAAGGGGTCAAGGTTCAACAAGTTCAAACGAAAGCGATTCACGATTTCCAAGTCGTCTTCAGCAATTAGCTCTGCAAATAACAACAGTAAAATAATGCCGTGAGAACACCCACAATGCAGTGAGGTATTGTGGCACATACCTTCATTTTTTGAGTCCCATTTTTTCACTAGTACTTCTTTTTCTCGAAAATTATGAAAAAATGCAACTCTTGGAGCCAGGTGACCTTCTTTCGACGCAGCGCTGACGTAAATTAAATGAAGACCGGGAGGTATCATCTTCAAGCCTTTGAACTTTGGTCCGATTGTCCATGCGTTGCAGTCGACACCGAATTCGCTCTGCTTCGGCAGATCCAACAACAACAGCACCCCGCCGGCAGCGAACAACCGACGGGCAGTGTCTTGATCCATCTGCAGCGAGGCCATGGCTTGTTCATCTCCTTCTTTCTTACGGAGAGACATAGTAAGATCTTCTCTTTAAGATCAGCACATTACTGAAAAGTTGAGAACTTTGCATAATTAGAATTATCAAAGAGAATATTACAAGAAATTGAATCATTAAACAGATTGTATCAAAAATTTGTACGTTTCATGTACGCAAAGAAATTCGCGAGTAAGAATCACGGCGCATAAATTCAGCAACACAATGGTAGGAATTTCAAAGGATAGATTCGTCATTATTGATATGCTGTAGGATATAGTGCTGTTCAATAATGGCTCAAGGCACTACTATCCAAAGGCACCGAAATCTGCATAATACTTTAACATCTTCAAGAAGTTACAGGCAAGAATAGACAACGTTTTGTTTTCAACATGCCGATCAAACAGACCCTGATCAGAAAGGTAGACGAAATATGGGACAATAATGATATGGAGACAAAAAGAGCGAAAGAACCAGATCGAATGTCGACCTGCTACCCATTACTGGGTGTGTTGCATTTAAAC